TGTTCTTCTTCAACCTTCCCCTCTTTCTCTCTTTCGTTCCTAGGCTTGTTGTTCTTCACTCTTCCCCTCTGTCTTTCTCTCTTGTCCTTGGGCCATCAATCCTTCGACATCTCTTCTCATTCCATTTCACCATTTTAGGTTTTTTTCTTTGCAGTGAATCTGGGTTCACCATCACCAGTGCTGGATTTTTTTCTTCCTCCTCTCCTCTCTCTCTCAATCCTTCAAAAATCAAACTTCTTCCTTCCTTTCCCCACTCATCCTTTTTCTTTCGTCTTTCTCTTTTTCTTTCTTCTTTCTCTTTTTCCTTCTTCTTCCTCTCCCAATCAAACCCAGATCTAAGTTTTTCTCAAACCCAAATCTGGGTTTTTCTCAAACCCAAATCTGGGTTTTTCTCAAATCCAGCTATCCTAAGAAATGGATAAACTCGGTGTGTAAAAGCCACCACCTGCAGGACTCGCTACACAAGCACATGGTGGATCTCGAAATGAATCTTCAGATGGCCTCCGAAGAGATTGCTGCCTCTCTCAAGGAGCAGAGCGCTTCCGCCCTTCTCCGTGTCCCTCGTGCCACCCGTGACGTCCTCCACCTCGTGCCACCAGCAATTCCGTTGCTGGAATCCTCAACAAGCTCAAGAAGGTCTGTTGTTCTTATTATCTTTCCTTCTGTTAGAGATCTTGTGTCAATTTCGTGTTGCTTGGATCTTGAGAAAGTGCAGGGGAGTTGAAATTCGTTTAACTCAATAGTGTTTAAATTGGAAACCGAATAATGGAGATTTGGTTTCAAAACCTTTTAATTATTGGAAATGTGCTTAATGCAGCTGAATTTTGAAATTGAAGGCGAAAGGCTCCTCAACGGAATCTAAGTTGTTAATGCATGGTTCTCTGGTTTACATCTATTGAACAGGATGCTGCAGGGTTAACACAATGGAGATCTGGGTTCCAACGATGTGCAGGATGAGAGAGGAGGAGAAAAACCTAGATCTGGGTTTGATTTGGAAAGGAAAAAGGGAGAAGAGAGAGAACAAGAATAAAAAGGAAAAAGACGAAATTTTTTTTTTTAATTTGAAAAATGGTGAAACAATAATAAAAAATATCAAATTTTTTTACCTGAAATTTACACGTGATTCAAATTAAGTTGTCCAGTGATGCTGTGGCATTTAACGTGCCAGCTACCCATTTAACCTATCATCTGTCCATTTAACGTGCCATGTGTCCCTTTAACGTGGTAGCTGTTAATTTAACTGATCGGAAGGACCATTTTGGTACCGAAAATGAAAGTTTAAGGATAATTTTGGTACTTTTTAAAGTTGAGGGACAATTTTGGTACCAAAGTGAATAGTTGAGGAACCAAAATGGTACTTAAACCAAAAAAGAACCAAATAATGCATACAATTGAATATTTTAAAGTGACTTTAAGCATCATAAAAAAATTAATTTAGGGTTTTCAAGCAGATAGGGGATGAGCAAGAGAGAAAGGAAGAGATATCTTACAAATTTATATTTTTTTTATCAATTTTTTTGTAAAAAATTTCGAATTTTTTTATATTTAATAAACTCACTAATTGTCATTCCAATATTGAGTTTAAATTTTGCCATTGAAACTAATGCAACAAACAATTATGACTTTTTTAAAATAATTATATGATTATTATCATAAAAGTTAGAAATATTAGTTGAAACAAAATAAATATTCTTAGTTGAAATTTTCTTATACTCCTGATTAATAGATATATCATTTGTTTTGCTGATAAAAAAAATATATATTAGTTGAAACAAACTAAAAATTTTGAAGAAAAAAGTCCTATATTTAAAAGATTAATGACTAATAATAGAATTTATATTTAAAATTTTCAAAGATTTGGGATTGAATTGAATTTTTTCCAAAAGTGTGTCGGGGGCCACCGTCCCATGCTCTACACATGGCTTCGCCCGTGGTTGTGGGCATGTTTGTTTTGAACTCTTTGTTGTAGTAAGTGGGTTTCTTATTTAGCTATAGGCCCTCTGGTCTACACGTGGCTCCGCCCATGGCTGTGAGCGTGTTTGTTTTGAACTCTTTGTTGAAGTATGTGGGTTTCCTAAGCAGCTATTGCATGACTTTGTGTTTTAAATTTACCTTGAAAGAATATGTGGTTAAATTTATTAGTTAATTGACTGTTGTAATTTTAGTTGTGTTTGGGTTAAATACCCTCTATACTTTTATTGAATAAGGTTTTTATTTTTATTCATATAAGAATAGTAATTCCAGCTTTTTTTTTTATTTTTAAACAAAAAATTTAAGTAAAAATTTAACATAGCATATAAATGAAAATTAAAAACCTTTTTTTAATCAAGTAAAACTACAAAACAAAAATTATAGATAGAAAAATGAAAATTCTTAATTGATATTTATTTTTTATGTTAAATTTTACCTAATTTTTTTATCTTAAAAATCAAAAAAGAAAAAAGAAAAAAAAGAGAGGATAAATTAGAGCTAATGTTGTTAAACAAAAGACTAACATTTGTTGAGCAAAAGGGGTATGTATTAATAAGGGCATAATTTTTTTTCTTTTAATGATCGAACAAGACCTGCACAAATTATAGTTTACAAAGTCACTACTGTGTTATGTTGTAGTAGACATAGTTTTTTTCTCTTTTTCTTGACTTTTATTATCCAAGAATATAAAAAAATAATTAAAATTAATAAAAATATATAAAATATCAATTAATATTAATTAAAAATAATAATTTTTTTTAAAAAAAATAAAGTGTTGTATTAAAAAAATTTGCACGAAACATAGTCAAACAAACCCACAGTCCAAAGCATAAGAATTAAATAACCAATACAAAATATACACTAACAAGATCATCAGTTGAAAATTTAAGTGAGGGAAAATGTAAATACATTTAGAATTTT